GCCTTGGCAGGTGGATTCTTTACCACTAGCACCACCTGGGAAGCCCCCATAGGCACATGACCTGTGTCTAAGTTTTATACAACATTGACCTACTCAAAACAATCTATCCTGAGCATTGTCATCACCGAACTTCTCCACCCTCTGCCAGGTAACCCTGCTTATCTGGAGGGACTCAGGGAGTGCGGCTGTGGGTCTGGGAAAAAAGAAGCCCATCCTGCCTCCTCCTCTGATAAAAGAAGAGAAACTTAGATCCTTGTGAAGAAAATGCAAAGTGCAGCTGGCAAAGCTAACCCCGTGAGTCAGGGCAAGGAGGTATGATCCCTGAGTTTGAATCTCAGCAAACAGCAATCGATGTTAATCTAAGAGTCTTGTTCTTCATTGAGGCAGTTTCTGGTGTTCCCTCCACGCCCTAAAGCAAACGTCACCACGAGTAATGAAATACGCCATCACCCAGTAATTCTGCAGTCTCCCCTCCAGATTTCAACACACTTGTATCAGGAAAAGACGATCGGAGACCTTCATCGTTATCACCCTATGCGGAAACTGTCCACCTTTTATGAGACTCACATCAAAGTGACGTGATAGCATAGTTTTGAGAAATGCGTCTGGATGAATGCCATTTACTCATCAGGTCCTAGAGTGCTGACGCTTGTCAGGCATCCACTAAATCATTTAAGTCAATATTATCTCTTGTTTAACAGATGAGAGAATCGAACTTCAAAAAAAATGTAATGAACCTGCTCTCACGCCACACATCTAAGGGAGGCGTCGGGACTCAGGACAACCGGCGCTATAGAAAACCGCCCCAAGTCGCTCTTTCCACGACTCTTACTGGGTCCTGATGCTGGCCTGTCGTGTTCTGAATGTGCACAGAGTTGTTGATGGAGAGCAGTGGCAATCGGAATGCAAGGAGCGTAGTCCCTCCAACCTCCTCTTACCGGCTGTGTGTGTTCCCGGTTTTCTAATGGTCCCGTCCTTTCCACCAGCTGGACAGTGCTGGCAATTAGGACAGAAGCAGGTAAAGCCCCTTTGAACAGTTGGTGCCCAGCACAGTTAACTGTACTTACTGCCAGGAGTGCCCTTAGAAGGAGGGCCAAAGTTTACAGCCTTTCCCTGGAACATGGACTAGAAAGGAGGCCAAGTTCTATGGGGTCATCATCGAGTTCAAGTGTTAATACCAAATCCCGCCTCCTAGATCATCCGAACATCTTGCAGTGACCTGTACCCAGATTCCTGATGACTGAAATCAAGTTTCCTGCCCTTCGTCTGTACGCGCAGATCAGTATTAACAGGAGCCCGTACTTCCTGGATCACGGGGTAGTGTCTTTTATCCTATTTTCAATCTTTTTCTTTTGTTTGCCTTTCCCAGGCCTATTTATACCACACACGCCAGGGCTATTCAGGACTCTCAGAGGAAGCTGGAGTTCGCGGCCAAGGCAGCTGGAAGGTGAGGCCCTTGATGCTGATAAGGGCCGTCTGATGCAGACCATGCATGTGTTTGAAAACCAGACACACGAGGCAAGATAAAGGAGGAAACCAGAGCTTCTCAGAAAACAAAGCCAAAGCCCCCTCTTTCCCCCCAGCTCGTTGGCAGGCCCAGGCTCTTGCTGCCAAATAAAGCGAGTTCCTCTTTTCTGTGAATAGGACGACCTGTGAACAGCCAGCAAAGGCCAGAGTCTGGTGGGCTTTCTGTTTCAGATTATTCCTAGTTAGTTGCTGGGTTCAGGTTCCTCCCAAGCCCACTCCCCACACCTTCAAGGAACTGCCCCTGCAAAGATCTCTAACCAGAGGGCTTGGGGGCCATCCCCCTGGTAGCCATCAGATCTCTCATCCCATCCACCTTGACTGGAAGCCCCAGCTCTCTGGTCTGCTCCTTCCTGAATTCACAGGCGATGACTTACTCTGTGGCACCACCAAGCAAGGACGCCAACCATGCCCCAGGCACGAGTTTTCGGTATAAAGACACAGGAGCTCCAAGCTCAACACGGCAAAGCCTAGGACGTCCCCGGTGGCGCAATGGATAAGAATCCGCCTGCCAACGCAGCGGACGTGAAGTTTGATCCCTGGTCCAGAAACTAAGATCCAACATGCCCTGGAGCTAAGGCCCTGCATCACAACTACTAAGCCCATGCTCTAGAGCCCATGAGCTGCAACTATTGATGCCTGCATGCCCGGGAGCCCATGCTCCATAACAAGAGAAGCCACCACAGTGAAAAACCCATGCCCTGCAACAAGGAGGAGCCCTCGCTCACCTAGAGAAAGCCCGAGTGAGGCAATGAAGACCCAGTGCAACCAAAAATAAAATAAATAAAATTATAAAAACCTCAGAGCCTCAGTAGGGGACAGACAAATAGCTAGCCAACCCTAGTTCGGTGCCACTGGCGCTGTGCTGTGCGGAGGTGGGGTCGGAGGTGGAGGCAAGTGGGCAGAGGAAGAAGGGGTCCTACCAGGATGTGAAGGAGGGCATGGAGCTCACTCTTGATGAGGTGGGGGCTGGTCGGCTTTCTGGAATGGATGCTATGCAGTCTGTTTATCAAACCAAAGGGGGAGCGAGCCAAGCTCTGGAGGCGTGTCACTGACAAAGCTCTAAAATGGGACCATTGTTTGGGGTCCCACAGCAGCTAGCAGCCAGAGCCCCTTAACCATCAGCACAAACACCTTTCCTTGTGCAAAGGAGTGCGAGTCACACACCCCAGGCTCTCCCTTTGAGGAGGGTGTCCCTAGGAGTGCGTCCCTAGGAGGAAGTGTGGTTTGAAAAGCCCAAGAGTTCTAAGGATGTAGGTGCCTCGAAGGAGAAGTCCACCTTGGATTCCCTAATGTCTAGCTGAAACTCCAATACTTTGGCCACCTGATGTGAAGAGCTGACTCATTTGAAAAGACCCTGATGCTGGGAAAGACTGAGGGCAGGAGGAGAAGGGGACGACAGAGGATGAGATGGTTGGATGGCATCACCGACTCAATGGACATGGGTTTGGGTGAACTCTGGGAGTTGGTGATGGATAGGGAGGCCTGGTGTGCTGTGGTTCATGGGGTCGAAAAGAGTCGGACACGACTGAGTGACTGAACTGAACTGACCTGAAGCTAAAGGAATATTTACCGCTGTGTAATAAGCAGAATAAGACTTACCTGGTGGCTCAGACAGTAAAGCGTCTGCCTGCAATGCGGGAGACCCGGGTTTGATCCCTGGGTACGGAAGATCCCCTGGAGAAGGAAATGGCACCCCACTCCAGTATTCTTGCCTGGAAAATCCCATGGACGGAGGAGCCTAGCAGGCTACTATTCATGTCATGAGCCACGCTGTCCCCTCGGCCTCTGATCCAAGATAGCCTGCCCATCCTCTGAAAGATTTGGAAGTTTAAAGCCAGCTCTGCTCCTCTCAAATGACAGTCTAGCCCAAGGGCCCCTCACGCTTCTGTAAAACCCCAGGCGGGACCAGAATACCTGGAGGTGAAGTAGAGACAGGCCCCACCTGGGCAGTGACTCTGGCCAGGTGACCATCTGGCCACAGATCATCTGGCCTGTGGTCCTGGCCACCCACTCACAAAAAACCTTTTGGGTGATGATGGCTTCAAGTCACCCTGCCAGGGGTCTGGCTGGGTTGCTCTTTACAATCGTTTGAAATGCACTGATCACCAGATCTGCTCACCAACATGCTAGGTCCCCAGATCCCTGAGTCCTGCCTCCATGAGCGAAAACTAATCACGGGATCATTTCTGTTCCTCCGGAAGCAGGAACTGTCCCAGGCCAGTGCAGAAGCCACAGAGAGCAGCGTTGTTGGGAGACTCTGATCTGATGGTTTCTAAAATAAACCGAGATGGTCTCGGAGCATCCGCACAGAGCTTGGACCATTTGACAAGAGCCAGCAATTGCAGGCTGGCGTCTCTGAGAACGTTTTAGGTGCAATAAGTTGATGGGCAAGATGGAGCTCTTCCTATTTCAGTATTTGCGGCGTCTCTGCTGGCGCCAGGTCTGACTTTGCTCTCACGAGAAGCTCTTACCGGGCAGTTCCTCTGACCGTCATCTATTGATTCTGGGCCAGTCAGCGTCCAGATCCTGGGATGTCTCCTGCCCCCCGGGCAAGACTTGCTAGGAAGCCCTTCTGAGGAAACTCCACTTAGCGACTGTATTTCAGAATTTCTTCATGGGCTTGCACACTCATGCATGCACATGCACACACACACACACACACACGTAATGTTTTTTCTGTCATCCACCAGCTGCGGGAGGCCACCACTGCCGTCCACATCAGTCACCGCCACCACACGGCTTTGGGCTTGGGCTTGTCATCAGTTACCTGAGAGTGCCTTGCTTCCTTCCCTCCCTCCCTGGGAGGTTAAGAAAATAAAGATAATAACAGTGAAAGCCTAGAAAGCCCGATACAGTCCCTGCAGAGAGCTTGGGGAGAGAAGACTCTGTGCTATTTCCCTCTGTAATTGGAAAAGTCCTCAAAGAGCCCTCCGCTCGCATCCTGGGCAAAAATCCAGAGGACAAAACCAGGAGGCTTCGCTCTGACGCTTTCCCCCCTTCCCCTCACCCAGCACTTCCCACCCGGTGAATCCTCAGTGGGCAAGCCGCTCCCTGCCCAGCCCCACCTCAGTTTCCCCGTGGGCTCAGACCGCCCCCGGGACTCTCTGGGCTCTGACCCCATCAGCCCATCTCGCGTTTCTTGTCCATGAATCACGAGTGGCGCCCACCGTCTACTCAGAGCGTGTCTGGATCACCCTTTTCACTTTCCCCTGTGTGAGCAGAGATTTCTGCTTCAGGAGACACATCCCTAGTGCCCTCCCTCTTGCCCTGATCGCCCGCCGCCCCCGCGAACTCGAACGCTTCAGCCCACCCCAGTGGGATGCCCTCTCAAAAAGAAACCTCCCTCCGGACGCGGATTCTAGCGAACCCCACTTTTGGCCCGAGTGACGGAGTCAGCCCCCTTCGGTGGCTCAGAAAGACTTTTAAGAGAGAGGAGAGGAGCCTGGGACAGAGTGGCACGGAGTCCAACCTACCGCGCTGGAGTCTTCTCCCTCCTCCAGAGGCGTTGTCTTAGGCACCGGCTCTGCAGGGCCTTGGCTGTCTCTCCCTGCAGGGCTCCGGCCTCCTTTAAATTTCAAGGCAAGGGGTGGGGTCGCTGGCCCCGGGTGGGCGGGCTTCTCTGCGGCAGGAGGATGCCTAGTGGACACTGGGCCCCGCAGGAGCCAAGCTGGGGCGGGCCTCTTTTCATAAAGAGGGGGAGGAATTTCCCCCATGGAAGCAGCCCAGCCCATCCTGGCTTGGGGCCAGGCTGATTATTCATGGTCCTGATGTCATCAACGAATCACAGGAATTTGGGAGTCGGATGTTGGAGGGGAACCCAAAGAACCAACTGTCTTCCTGTCAAACCGTAGTCTCAACCTCATTAAAGGGACCCTGAGGATCCCTTTAGCTCTAAGCCCCAGCGGGGAGACAGAGGCATTTACAATTCTAAACAAAGACACAGGGAGTAAATGGGGTTCTTCTGGAATCTTCAGCAGTCACTCTGCCCCTCTGGACACAGTAGATTGAACAGCAGGCCAGGCGGGCCAGGCGGGCCAGCCGCCCTGTGGGCTGGAGCACCTGGGGCTGGGGTGAGAACAGGTTAGCAGAGGCAGGCAGGTCCCACCTTCACACCTGCCGTGCAAAGTGCCCCAGCCTGGAGTGAGCCACTCCTAGCTCCACTGCCCCGGTGGGGGAAATCATTTCACTTCTTTATAAAGTGAACCCTTGCTTACTGAGATCTTCTCAGCTCCAGAGATCCCTGGTTGGGCTGGGGGATACAGGTGGGGGTGCTGAGTCGATGCTCTGACCCCACAGGGCTGCCTATGCTAGAAACTCCATCCCTCCCCACCCACCCTGACACTGGGAAGTGTTTCAGTGTTCTGGAGCTTGCTCTTAATCGTAAATGCCCCGTCAGATTTGGTAACCCCCCGCAGAGGACACATAAGCCAGGGCTGAGCCATGTAGGGAAAGGCAGACGTTTGAATCAGCTCTACCGGGCATGAGGCATGTGATCTCAGGCAAGTTTTTCAGTGATGCTGAGCTTTCACATCTGAGGTCACATATGGGTTAGAGAGAGACAAAGCTCGCGAGGTCCCTGGCACCTCGCAGGGCGCAGCCGGTGGCATCTGTTATGTTGATGTCTAGTGGAGACCAGGCAGCGTGAGGGTGTCCGAGGAGGATGAGAAAGGATGTTGGAGAGGATGCCGTGGAGAGTGTGTGGGATGACCGGCCAGGTGTCCTGTATTCTGATCCTAAACGTGCACGTGTTTATTAAGTGGTGAGAGCTGATTCAGGGTTTGGAAAATAAGGCTAGCATGGCCAAGGTCGAGCAGTTTTCTACATTTTAATCAAACCAGAGCCCTGCCAATGGCAGAGGGGCAGTGGGGGACCAAGTCAGGCACATCCTGGTGCGTCGGAGCCAGGAGAGCTGCAGACCAGCCTCAGACAAGCGACAGCAGGCAGGGGTGGGGGTGGGGGGTGCCTCGAGATAGTCTACTTTGCCAGAATGAGGCTTGGAGGGTTTTGGGGTTTTTTTTTTGGCATTTTGGTTCAGCAGGGGTGGGGGCGGTAGTAATAGGAATTTAATTTGGGCTCCCGTAGAGGATGAACAATCACATAGAGACTGCAGTCTGGGTACGTGCACTGAAAGCTTAGGCAGAGACCCTACCGTTGAGGGGGTGAGGGCCAGCACGTGACTAAACAGGAGGGCAGAGAGATTCTCCCCCCACCCCACACCAGCCCCCTTCCTCGTCAGGGTGCCTACAATTCCACCCATAGAAACGTGATCCCTTGGTACATATATACAATGGAATATTACTTGGCCATTAAAAAGAATGAAGTCATGCCATTTGCAGCAACATGGGTAGACCTAGAGATGGTCTTATTAAGTGAAATAAGTCAGATTGAGAGAGAAAAATACCCATATGATAGCACTTATATGTGGAATCTAAAAAAAAAAAAGAATACAAATGAACTTATTTATAAAACAGAAATAGACTCACAGATTTTGAAACAAACCTGTGGTTACCAAGGGGGAAACGTGGTGGGGGGAGAGATGAGGAACTTGGGCTTGACATGCACACACGACTGTATATAAAATAGATAAAACAAGGACCTACTGTACAGGGACCTCTACTCAACAGTCTATAATGACCCATATGGGAAAACAGGCTGAAGAAGAATGGATATATGCATGTGTACAACTGACTCACTTTGCTGGACTCCTGAAACTAACACAACGTTGTAAATCAGCTATGCACGTTGGTGAGTCGCTTCAGTCATGTCCGACTCTCTGTTACCCTACAGACTGCAGCCCACCAGGCTCCTCTGTCCGTGGGATTTCCCAGGCAAGAATACTAGAGCGGGTTGCCATGCCCTCCTCCAGGGGATCTTCCCCATCCAGGCGTCAAACCCGCATCTCTTAATCTCCTGCACTGGCGGGTGGGTTCTTTACCACTAGCACCACCTGGGGGAAGCCCAAATACTCTAAAATAAAATAAAAATTTAAAAAGAGAAACATGATCCCTTAGGTTTTTAGGCCCCAGTTAAAATGCATATTTGATCAGTTAAACTTCAAAGTGGTCTCCAGTGGGGAGGAGCTGTCTGCCGGACCCGGGCTGGACTGGTGTCTTGAGGCAGACTTAGCTCCAGGGATTGACAGGGGAGAGTTTTCCAGTCGCCAGCAGGTGCCCCAAGCTTTGTGCCCCGAAACACAATACTATGACTCATACCCACAAATACCCGTGTCCTAAGAATGGGTCTTTGTGTTCCTACTAAATATGAGAGTGCCGTTCTCTTTCCTGAACTCTGGGAAAGGCTAAGAGTGAGAAGGTGGGAGTAGAGACTCCGCTCAGATGACAATGGGAGCCTTGAATTTTTAGTCACAAGATGACTGCTGGAAAAAAAAAGAAAAAAAAGGGAAATGAAAATTAATCTTGGTGAAATCACATCCTGGGAAAATTGTATCAAAGGGTTTTGCTTTCAAGGAAGAGAAATAAAACTCAGGCAGATAACACGGAGGCCAAGTGGGACCAGAGAACAGGATGGAAACATTCCTACAGAATTTCCTACAGGGCTGTCCAGCTGATGCTGTTTCTGCAGCGGCCCCTCCCCTGCAAATCGTGAGTCACCAGCCCCGACCCCTTATCACCCAAGATGGGCTTGAGAACAGGGACTTCGCTGAGACCCCAATCAGCTGAGTAAGAAATGACATGGTGTCTGAAAACTCAGAGAGAGAAATGGACGAGAGGTTTATGACAAGATGGCTTGGCACCAGAAAGCAGAAATGTTGTGTACATTCTAAGAGGGTTTAACTTGGGTAGCCATCTGGTTTTTCAGGGATGAGATAAAAATCACAGTGGATCTGACATGGTGTCATTAGACGGGTGCTCTCTATGCCTTTATCCCCACCACACTCTCCCACTGGCCTGCTGTCCCAGTGACTTGCCGGAACAGGACAGGCCCGGCGTCCAGGAAGTGCCCTGAAAAATGGCTATTCTTATACGAATCACACACCAGGATGTATTCGAGTGTTGTGACCTACCCTCACAACTTTTCTGCAAGTTGGAAATTATTTCAAAATAATACCGCATATTGCCACACTAAATGTAAGATAATAATACAGGAAGAGGCAGAGATATGGGTAAACTCCATTTTCTGCTTAATTTTTCTGCGAACAAAACTTTTCTAAAAATGTTGATTATTTCTAGAAATACTTACTTTAAAATTCAAAAGGTGGCCATTTCTGATACAGAATGGCACAACAATATTATATTTATGTATGTACATTTGACAAATTGTGAACAATAAATTCTACCTCTAATGTTATTTTCTAAATTGAATTTAAACATGGCAAGATTATATCTTATTTAAAGAGACAGACATAAGCTTGTTTTACATGTTGATTTCAGTTGATGTGTAATCATCTCTAACATTTGAATATTCTTTTCCAATGGCACCAAGAATCCAGTTTTTATGGGTTTTTTGGACAGAGATTAACTGGTCTGTGAAACCACCCACCACAATCTATTTATATGCATATTCCTCTTACCTATCTGTCTTCCCAGGTGGCACAGTGTTTAAGAATCCACCTGCCAATGCAGGAGACCAGGGTTGCATCCCTGGGTTGGGAAGATCTCCTGGAGAAGGAAATGTCAATCCACTCCAGTATTCTTGCCTGGAGAATCCCATGGACAGAGGAACCTGGTGGGCTACAGTCCATGGGGTCACGAAGAGTTGGACATGACAGAGTGACTGAGCATGCATGCCTATCCCTCAGTATCTATAAGGATTCTATCAGCATCTTGGGATTGTAAGGGTGTCCGTGGTCCATTAAGTTTGGGTACACGAGCCTCAGAAGTGGCGACTGGAGTCGCTGTCTGGATGATGCCGGGGTGGGGTGGGGGAGGTGAGGCTGGGGTGAGGGGTGACGTCGTACTGTATCCAGAGTCACCCAACCTGGCGGCCTCATCAGAAGCATATACTTGAGTTGTTTCCTTTCAGCCTTTCTGGTCATTTCCCTTTTGTTTTAAAATAACAACAGCAGTTATCACCAAATTAAGAGGCTACAGAACTACCCAAAGCTGACTTCGGGGTCAAGTCCTGGCTGTGCTGGGACAGGCGCTCAGAGAGCATCAAAGCTGGCTGCGTCTCCATGACTTCACCCCACACTGTTGGGTGGGCGAGGCTGCTCTGGGCGACCAGGTCACCGAGGGGGACCTACATGTGTCCAGGGTGACAGGAACACCCAGTTTCCACTTACCCCCTCCGGCTGCAGCATCCCAGGCTCCCTGCCCACGGCCTCTTCCTGAGTGGAGCATTTTTGCCTGGTGAATCTCCTCTGGTGTGGCCTCCACAGCGCCCGTCTCCTCCACCGCAGGGAAGTGATGTGTTTTCTAGGGGATGCGCTGTTAACTCATCCCAACTGATCGTGCATTTCTTTCCTCTCTGAGGGGTTTGCACCAATCTGAACAAATCTGACATCAGATTTTTTCCAGTTCTCTTTTATCTGAGGGGCACAGGGTTTCCTGTTTGACTCAAGATTGATGGCTTTAATCCCATCCCAAATGTCACTTGTCCTA